TATTAGATAGTTTTCTTTATGTTTGATTGGAATCAACAACAGACATTAATTAATTTTCACGATAGATTACATTTACCTGATACTTCTTTCAATCATTATTTTTCTAATTATTTAGATTCTTCTTGTATTATTTGTTATCCTACCCCTAATAACCCTTCGGATCAATTCAACGCATTTTGGAATTGGTTCACTTTTATTTCTTCTGTATATCAATTTTCTCGTATAACTACTGAAATATTTGATCAGTATATTCATAATTTTAATATCCCCGTACAAACTAGAATAGTTGATCGGCTTTTATCTAGTATTAGGTTTCGACAACCAGAAGTTCGAGATACTCTTGTAAATCAAATAAACAATTGTACCCAGCATACACAATTATTTACCCAACACCTAGAAGAACTTGAAAATCTTCAAAATCTAGAAGATTATACAACTACAGACTCCAATACTGAAACATCTGATGACGAAGAACCAGACCTAGTTGATAATTTGATGAACATGAATAACGGTCAAGCAGGACAACTTCTTAATCTCGTCAGAGCTATAGGTGAACACCTTGCAGTTCAAAACAATGTCCCTATGCCCACATTTATAGGAGGAATTCAGGATCCTATGGAATGGCTCGAGGAATTTGAACGATGTGCAACAATAAATAGATACACCAACGATTACAAACTTCAAGTAGTTGGAGGATACTTAATGAATGAAGTCCAAACATAGTATCAGCAAATTATGAATGATGCCACTCGAGTCTTCCAATCTTGGAGTACCGCCAATAATCGGAACTTCAAAGCCATGTTCTTAACACAATTCTGAACCCAAGGAAAACTTCTACAGTGGAGAACTGACCTACAAAATCGAATACAAACAGTAGGTGAAAGCATCGACCACTATGCCCAAGATATTAAGCGATTAATCAAAAGGGTAGATCATCAAGAAAATTGGAGCGAACAAGATAAAATTTATCAATTCATGAAAAGACTGAGAAGAGAAATTGCCTTTCAAATCCGACCACTTCCGTCTTTTCGACATAACACTACTCTTGAACAAGTAATTGAGGCAGCTCGCCAAATAGATGAAAACAATAAAGATTATCCCGAAGCTTTAATGGGATTTGGAGAAAATCATACAAGTCCTTCACCCATTTCTCAAAACTATCCTGCCCCACAAAATGATATCAAAGCTGCAGTAACAAAAGCCTTGGCTCCTTTAATACAAGCTTTGGGAAGATTAGCAGTAAATATTCCAAATGTTCCAACATCCCCTTCTACCCAAGGAAATAATAATAATATAAACAGACCATGGAATAGGCAACCATGCAAAAGCCCAACATGCTACAAGTGTAGACAAGTAGGACATATAGCAAGAAATTGTCCCACACAACAACCATCTAATTTTCAACAACCCCCTCCAAATAATCAAAATAATAATATATATGCTACACATTTCTTTGCCCAACAACAACAGCCACAACAAATGTATCAACCAGTAATGCAGCAAGTTTCTCCACAACCACAAGTAAATCCAGTACTTACAAACCAACCTATTCAACAGTAAACTCCTCAACAAGTTCCAACCCAAACCATATTGGTAACGATGGATAAAGGAGGAATAAGACAACCATCCTAACAATTATTCGACCATTTAAACTAGAACGCGCACCTCAAAAGGGTGAGTGTGCGAAGGATAATACAAACCCCTCATTTACCGGAGAAAATAATTCAAAACTTACTTAGCCGTATATTCATATTGAACAACGAAATATGGATATTGATGGAAACAACCAAGCTAGTGATTCTGGAAAACCAAGAAACCAATCGGGACGAAATGTGAAAGCTAAACTTGATCCTGAAACGCAGGACGATGAGGATAAGGAAAAGAAAAGGAAAACATCTAAAGGACTAACTGAAAAACCCCCTATTGCACAAATGACTATACCTTATTCTATTATTTCTGACCTAATGTATACTAAAGCTGGAATATCTTTTGGACAACTAATGAGCTTACCACCGTTTAAAAATGAAGTAAAAAAGGTAATAACTCCTCGAAGAAAATGACCTAACTTGTCGTCTTGTTTTTGGCACTGAA